AGGGTTTTTATGTTCTTGCGCGGAATCCTAATTCTTTTTCTAAAATAAAAGTAGCCTAAGTTACTCCTTATGAATAAATCAGCTATCTACTGTGAAAGTCCCGTCAAAATCGGTTCAGCCGTTTCGGAGATTAGCCGGAACAAACAGACAGACAGACAAAAATTTTAAAAATTGTATTTTAGTTATAAGTACCGTATTTACTTTCAAATGCATTTAGTAAAAAACTGTAATTTTGACATTACAAATAGACACTTCAAATTTATTTATTTGTATAGATTATCGCCTTTTGCACATTATTAGTATTATTTTTAATTTGTCCTTGTTACAAAACACTTCCGCGAAAATAGACCTTTTTTGAAGGCAAACTAGTTATAAAAATGTTTTGTTTGTTCCAGTTTGCGTATGCATTCATTGGTTTTGTTTTGCGTTTTGCTATTTATTTATCCTTTTCATTTATTTTAAATATAATGTAAATTGCTTGTTACTAGGCCACGACGAAAAATCGTCGTTAGTTATGCCGCCAAATCGGGTCCTAGCGTATAATGCTGCCTTTCCACGCTTGCCAAGCCTCGGCAAACGTCTTCAAGCTCCAAGCGTCCACAAATCTCGTTTGGCGTTTGGAAGTTGTTTAGTGTTTACATGCTTGTGAATGCGTCAGTGCTCAGTGTGCTACGTATACTTACCTTGTGACCCATACTTACCATCAGGTGGATGGTAAGTGGCTACTATAATTCCCACTCACAACGTCAATCCTGCAGGGAAGGACCAACTGAAAAAGTTGCAGCGCGCTCACGACGTCGATCCGGCTCGAAGGACTTAGTGGTTCTAATCTTAGTTAAATAATATTTCGTATCTTTACTAATACGCAGCTCAGATTTTTACATACAATTTGATTGATGATGGTGAGAAGTGTGAAATGTCTTTGTTGCAATCGCCTATGCGCCTGCGCCGCGTAGTGGTTGTGGAAAAATCTCCCAAGTATCGTATATATTATAAATTGTTAAAGAGGAAGTATATCAAATATTCCTGTACCTTTTTTTTATAGGATAGGGTGATAAACGAACACACAGTCCACCTGATGGTAAGTGGTTGCTGTGACCCATAGACATCCACATCTATCCTCAATAAAGAATCAAAATGCAGATGCGTTGTCACCCGTGAGGAGGAGTTCACCCGGTTCTCTACACTCACCATACGAAATACAGCAGTGTTAAACTTCTATTTTACGCTGGTATTCTGCGAGAGCGTGGTCCTGCCCCGGTTGAGCCGACCCATTCGGGCTGCAACTATACTATTAATATAGCTGCAGCATGGGTCTACCACGTACCTATTTGCCAACAAGCATTTTCACATCATAAATCTTTTTCAACCAATCAACCTGTATACACTATACAGGTTGATTGGTTGTGAGGGTTGACAACGCGTCTTAATTTTGAATTCTGAATCGAGGAATAGATGACGGTGTCGATGGGCCACAGCATTAACTTACTATCAGGTGAACTGTGTTGTCTTTTGTCACCCTTATTCTATAAAACAAAAATGTTACAATTTTGGCTTATAGGGTTCAGAAAGTATACGATAAAAAGAAGTAATTTCTGTAACTTGTAAGGTTCAAAGAATCTGTACCCAAGGGTATCGATACTGATATCCAAGAGTTAGAATGATCTGTCTTGGGTATCGATATTATAGTAGTAGTATTGGAAGCTACGGTAGTGGTAGGTGAAACGTATCGACCCTAGAACCGAGATAATTAGTATTCATTCACTTTTTACGTCGTATTTATTGCTGAAAAAAGCGTCTTCATAATATTATACAACCTTTCTGAAATCAAGAGAATTCGAGCAAGATTTTCTTTTTTATGATTTTTTTATTAAATTCATTACATTGTGTTACAAAAAAATTTCGTGTGAGTTACTTATCGTGTTCAGCGTTTTACTCCAAAAACTTATAATATTCGTGAATTAGGTACTTAATTAATTTCGAAACCTGAGTAATTACTCATCACTAATATAGCAATTACTGATCAAATATGTTGGAAATTAGTTGAAGTATAAAATCATTCCAAAATTATAATTGTATAAAATAATATTGCATTCCTTGGGTTTCCCTCTTTATGTTCAGCAGTGGACAGTGATGGCCTGTATTCTAATAACAGTAAAGTTTTTTTTATTACGTGTCTACAAATCTTAAATATTGTAAACAACAGTTATCGTGTTGCCAATTATATAGCGACGTCTCGGAATACAGAAAAAACAGCCAGGTCATGTTTACTGTTCGTTGTCTTTCTGTGTATTTTCCGTTAATGCTTGAGCTTCTCCTTAAAAACTGAAATAAAATGTTAACAATGTCTTTAAATATCTCCTATAAGGCAAAGCAGGCCTATTCGTCAACTTTGTAGACGGACATCAAGATAATATTTCACTTCGTAGTACCTACATTGCGTTGTATGTTTTCTGAGTGACTTCTGCGCGCTTCCTATATTTAAAAAACGTTTTGTTCTCCGTTATATTATCTGTTTTGTTATATAAGAAGTACATGTTAAAATAGTTTTTAGGGTTCCGTACCTCAAAAGGAAAAAACGGAACCCGTATAGGATCACTTTGTTGTCCGTCTGTCTGTCTGTCTGTCTGTCAAGACCCTTTTTCTCAGGAACGCGTGGAGTCATCAAGCTGAAATTCATATCAAATACTTAAGTCTACTGTCCCTTGGAGCTGTGAAAAAATCAAACTTCTAAGCCAACGCAATCAAAAGATACAGCCTTTTATGCCGCAAATTTTCGACATTCGCAAGGGAATCAAAACCTACAGGGTACTTCCCGTGAACTCAGAATCTTAAAATTTGATACGAAGCAACAGATTATAGCACAGATAAAGGAAAAATTGCGAAAAGCATACATTTTTATTTACATCATATATTAAAAATATTTTTAATAATTTTAAACTTATATGCCTACGAATTTGTTCGGAACCCTCGGTGCGCGAGTCCGACTCGCACTTGGCCGGTTTTTATATGCACTTCTAGTAGTTGTTTCATTAAAAAGCAAAGTGAGTAAGACCAGTATTTATTTTATTACTTTAGTAATAGTTTTTTCATGCACACTATAGGCTGGTTCTTTTAATGTAATTTTCACCGACTTGTAGATTAACTTGAAAATTTGCATGACAATACAACATTTTAATGACTATGACCCAGCGTTCACACTAGGATCATCACAGCTCATGATCAATGCGTGTTGTTTAAGTTTCCTTAAACTATATTATTCTATATTTAAATAATATTATTTAAATATAGAAACCAGGCATAGTCGTGCAGCTGGTGACAGTCCGTCGCTATGCTGCATTACGTTTTGCCTTACACCCTTCACATGTATCATGTATGAGTTAATGAAATATATTCTTTATTCATACATTTCGAAACTATTTTTGTTTTAGAGAAGAGGGTCATTAGAGCTATTTACAATCTAAAACTGACAGCCTCTTCGAGGAAAATTTAAAGAAATAAATATATTAACTTTGGCCTCTCAGTATATTTACGAAAATGTATGTTCACAAAAATAAAGGTAGTTTTAGTAAAAAAAGTAATATACACTCTGTAAACACTAATAAACACAAGCTAGTTTTTCCAGTTTCTCGACTCCACAGAGTCAGTAATTCATTATTGGGGCAATGTATACGCTATTACAACAAAGTCCCAGAAAATATACAAGCTCTCTCTATTACCAAGTTTAAATATTTTATTAAACCAAAACTATAAAAAGGGTTATTATATTATAAATGAATACATGGTAGATAATAACCCCTGGGAATGAGGTGCTCGCTTCCAAGCTGTTTCTGAAATAAATTTTCTAAATAATTTGTACAACCATTCATGTAAAATTTACTTTAAAAAAACTCCCGCTGGGTTTCTTGCTGGTTCTTCCCAGGACGGAGGGTTTTTTCGAACCAGTGGTAAAGTAAAAAATGTCTTTCAATAAGAATTACACATGTGATCTATATTGAATAAAGAATAATTTTCTATTCATACAATTTACAATTCACATGGCGAAAATTGTTTTTTATTATTCCATTGGTACTAATTGTCTGACGAGGCCTTGCTCACCATCCCGCCATAAGTTAAATATGATCGAATTTTTCTATCAATCGATCGAATCCTACAGATGAATTTAGTAAGTGGTGTTATATAATGACCGTGATGTGGCGGTGTAAGAATATCCACTACCTCATATTGTACCGTGAAGAGATGGGCAGCGGCGTCTTTTAATAATGACTAAAAATTAAAAAAAAAACGGCGGTAGACAATCCGCTTGCCAAGCGTGGCAACTATGATAAATATCACTCATATGAGGCAATACGGATTAGTAAGCTGAAGTGGCAATGGGCCGGCCATATAGTTCGAAGAACCGACAACCGATAGGGGCAAAAGGTTCTCGAGTGGCGGCCTCGTACCGGCGGACGAAGTGTAGGGTGTCCTCCCACTAGATGGAGTGACGACCTGGTAAGACATGCAGGAAGCCGATGAATGCAGGTGGCTCAGGAACGTGCTATGTGGCATTCCATGGGGGAGGCCTATGTTCAGCAGTGGACTTAAATAGGCTGTAACGGTTACGGTAATACAATCCACTCCACTACCCCATATCATCTGCTGGGTATCGCAAGAGGAGATACAGGGAACTGTCACAGTAGATGGCTAGTAGTAGGCTAGTAGGTAGGTAGGCTGATAACAACTAATAATAATAAAAAAACTGCAACGAATGGCATGGCAATTTTGAAAAATAGTGTCATATAAGGCAATCAATGGAGGACGCGTATATTCAACAGTGGACTTTCGGTAGCCTGCAATAGTTTAATGAATGAATCCACTAAGTTGGCTGATAAGAAGTCGTTTTGACTGAAGTGGTGCTAAAAAGTCCGGCTTTACAGCGTCTCACCAAAATCATTACCCTACCAATTATGAAAGTATGACTATTTTGAACTGTTTGTTAATTTTATAATTTGTTTCAGTATATTCTGGTGGACGAATGAAACCATGAACATATGGACGCATATATTCGGTTTCTTCCTCCTGCTCTCCCTGACCATCAACGATCTCGTCATTATAAACATACACGCCACTTTAACGGACAAGACAGTTGCGGCGATATTATTCTCCTGTTTCCTGGTGAGTAATTCTTATATTTTATCATCAGTAATTTGACTTCTTTCAATTCATCTTATCAGACATTGAAAAATCCTTATGGATAAACTTGAGTATTTGGGCATTATTGGGTTAGATCTTTTTTCGTTTTAGGGTTCCGTGCCTCAAAAGGACAAAAAGGAATCCTTCGATCACTTTGTTGCCTATCTTTCCGTTTGTTCCTCTGTCAATGCTCTTTTTCTCAGGAACGGGTAGAGACATCAAGTTAACATTTATATTAAATACTAAGGCTTACGATCACTTGGAAGTGTTAAAAATTCAAGCTTTATTAGTTTACGCATTCAAAAGACGCGGCTATTTATGTCACGTATTTTAACTGCAAACTTACTTGCTTGCAAACTCAAAGGCATAGTCATAATCGGGGTTTCCCGTTGATCCAGAATCATGAAATTTGGCAAGAAGTAAGGTCTCACATCAGAAGTAGGAGAAAACATCGTTACTTTGTAATTTAAAAAAATATTTTTTTAAATTACAAACATACACAAGCAGTTGAAGCATCGACCGTAATATATACCGATGTATGAGTGAACATTGTTTGACTTACCTTTTCGTAAGAGCAATGTTCGGTGTTAACCTTATCTATATAGATATATCTATAAAGATATATATATATATATATATATCTATAATTTCCGGAATAAATGAACAATCTGCATACATAATTAAGTTTATATGGAACCCTCAGGGCGCGAGTTCTACTCGCACTTGTGTGTGGTTTTATCGCGATCATATAATATTAACGATGCCATAATTATCACGAACTCGTCTTTATTGCATTGCGGTATATTACTCTATTATGAGTAACTGTCGCTTATTTCAAGTTATTGTTGAAGAATTTTCCGTGATATTTCATTTTTATTTAGACCTTTGACGTGGCGTTTATGTTACGAATTATTATGTATGTATTCAAGTGTTGGACTATTATTTTTTTATTATGGTAATTTTTGTTTCGGTATAAATTACTTCCGCAACGTTTTCTACTTCCGATTTAGCTAATTAACCTTGGATACATAAAATTCATTAGTGTTGATTTACATACATGACAAGAAATAAAAGCTAGAAAAAGGAGGAAGATAACAAATCTATACAAATAAATAAATGCTCTGTTTGTAATGTTAAAATAACAGCTTTTTAGTAAATGCATGTAAAAATATATACGGTACTTATAACAAAAACACAACTTTAAATTTTTTTGTCTGTCTGTCTTTCTGTTTGTTGTATTTTGACGGGACTTTCGCTGGCAGATAGTTGACGTTATAAGAAGTAACTTAGGATACTTTTATTTTAGAATAAGAATTAGGGTTCCGCGCAAAAAATAAAACCCTTCAAAACCATTCGTAATAAATTACACGCGGGCGAAGTCGCGGGGAACAGCTAGTAAACAATAAATGAACATGAAGAAGATAAGAAAGCATGTATAGCGTTCATGTCATATCACATCTATGCCGGTAGTTGTTAAGAAGACTACACTCGAAGTTTACGAGTATGTTTACTTAGACAATTATTATTACAATCGGCGGATTCAACGTTCGGGAGATTGCGACACATCTTCTCCTTACGTATACATAGCTCAAAACTTGAAAACAATAGTGTATAACTAGCGCGTGCTGCTAGTGATGATCGAAGATGTGCCCTGCACTGCTGGCCGTATGAGGCAGAGTTGTGCTTGGAGATTCTCTGCGTGATAGAATTCGTGATGAGGATATCCGCAGTAGAACCAGATTAACCGACATAGCCCAACGGATCAGTAAGTTGAATTGATAATGAGCTGACCATGTTTCTCGAAGAACTGAGAATCATTGGTGAAGAAGGGTGCTCGAGTGGCAGCCTCGTACCGGAAATCAAAGTGTAGGGCGGAGTCCACTAGATGGAGTGAAGACCTGATAAACAATTAAGGGAGTCGATGAATGCAGGTGCTTCAGAACTGTGATTGGTTTCATCGCTATAATTATTTTTTTGTTTATACTTTAAAGACGGTAAATTGTAGAACAAATTCTATTGTAACGACTAATAGTTACGTAGCAACATTATTCAATCTGTGTTTATAGTTTGGTCGAAAACAGTAGGTATGTAGACCCTTCGCGAACACAAGACATACAAAAGAATAAACGCGAACATTATTATAGTAGATTTAAGTGTTATGTTTAGCTATCATTGTAGTAAATATGTGTTTGTGGGTCAATTATGTGAGCTGCAGCCAGAGGTTGCAAAAAAAAAGCAATTTTTATTTAATATATATTTAATTTACAGTAATTATTACAATTAATTATTACAACTAAGTGAGGTGACTGTAATTCGATGTTTGAATCTAATATTAATTCACACGGTAAAATATTAGAACCAGGTAATATAAGACAGTAGACACGTTATGCTGACGCGGCGCCTCGTGATTGTCGTAAGCCGATGCAACGCAGCAGATTGCCTAGATTAGGGCTACCTAGGTGCTAGAGCCATGCTGCAGCTATATTAGTAGTATAGTTGTAGCACGAATGGGTCTGCTCGACCGGGGAAGGACCACGCTCTCACAGAATACAAGCGTAAAATTGCAGCTTAATGCTACTGTGTTTCGTATGGTGAGTGTAGAGAACCGGAGACCCTTTTTACTGGAAAAGAGGCATTCCATCTTAGACCTCACGGCTGACAACGCATCTGCATTTTAATTCGCAAACTAAGATAGATGTAGATATCTATGGGCCACAGCAACCATTTACCATCAGGTGGACTGTGTGCTCGTTTGTCACCCTTATTCTATAAAAGAAAAAAATGGGTTTTTGTAGATGTAGGTGTGACTAACACACAGAACAAGAGCCACCGTATTAGCGTCTCGACAAAATATTTCCTGTTTAGTTAATAGCTTCCGGAGTTATTTGGAAGTTGTCCTTGTGATCGGACTTAGTTTATCAAAGATCATCGTTTTTAAAAGGCTTTTGTTACGCTAAGACAGTACAATTTATGTAAGGCGTCATCACCACTTACCACCAGGTGAGATTGTACCCAAGGAAGTGTCAAGCACTGGTTTTACACTTTTTTTATAGTAAGTTAAAAAATATATGTAAAATATCCATCAGATTCTTCCATTTGTAAATTTAAAAAAAATGTGCTTTTAATTGTGTACACCGTACGAAGTAAAACTTCTTTACGACATATCATTCTTCTTTTATTTTATACTAACTGACCCGGCGAACTTTGTATCGCCTAACAGTCGATTCTTTAATTTTTTTTAATATTTATTCTGCTATTCGGGACACCGGGCCAGCTAGTAAGATAAAAAAAAGAAAGTTGATAAGTCAACAATTACTTTATGTCAAAAAATAAATATTATAATTGTTATGTCTTAAACTTTATGGTATGTTATTAAAGTTCAAATTGACTTTTAAGTAATATTACGAATCTTTTGTATGGAAATATAGAAAAGTGTTATTTTTAGACTTTTTTTTAAATTTTTCTCTCCGTAAGAACCATCTTCAAGGAATATTATAAAAAAGAATTAGCGAAATCGGTTCAGCTACTCCCGAGATTTGCGCTTAGCAACACATTCAGCGATTCATTTTTATATTTATTTTATATTTTACATTAGTAGGTTAAATAAAAGTACTGCTCCTAAGTAGGTATGCAGCTCCGGCGGTTAAACGTTGCAAGAAAATTTAACGTTTTTTTTTTATTTTTAATACCATACTAAATTTCTCCACTACGTCGATTAAGAAGTTCAATTCAAATACTTTGTGATGTATTTATTTGTAAAAGTGGAGTACTAAACTTTATATTGGTAAAAAGGTATTTAAACACTTGCGAAATTCATCAATACTTAACTTTATTTGTATAGACACAGAGACATGATTTCTCTATCGCCGAGTTTGGCATCGTTGCTCATAATTTCCTTGAGTTGCATTACGAAATAAGAAGCGTGCTGCACCATTGGTGGACGGCTCGAAAGTATACGCCGCAGATGACCGACCCGGTTCTCCGCAGTTTTAGTGAAAGTCATGCGTTAAAATTGGAAAAAATTGACTCTTTGTCTAAATCGCATAAGAACTTGGTGAAGGGTTACTTCATTCTTTTAACTTAATAACTTAGCAATTCATTGCCAGATTAATTAGTTTCAAAATAAACTGATTTTAGTAATTAATGGAAAGATTTACTTAGCGTAACTAATTGTAGATGGTTATGAATCAAGCAATTTAAAGATCTCAAAATCTTCCTAATACGTGATATTATTCACTTTTTAAAGCGCACGTCGATTTAATGATAATCTGATTAACCGGTGCTCGTTGAGTGTTTTGGTTTAACTTTTACTTGCAATTTTTTCTGTATCTGTAAAAATCGAAAAAAAAAAACTAAACTATGAAAATTATTAAAGCAGTATTTTACTTGGTTGTTCTTAATAATTTAAAACTGTAAGTAATTTATTATTGAATAGATAAATTTTAATAAGAGTATTTTCCTTACTTAAAGAAAAATGTTGCCCTTCACAAACCGAGAATAAATTACTTTGAAAAAATACTCGATCCATCAAGATTTCTCTAAAAATAATGAAGCTATGGATTTATCAAACACTGTTTACGTTTTACGGCTTGTTTGATGACTAATTTGAGATTTTGATATATTTGAATCGTTCTTGTTTTTGTATAAAAATAATAATATAAACTGTTTTTCTTTAGTATTTACCATAGCGTTTGCGTATTCATTGTTTTTAAGATGTTTTGTAAATTTAAATGGAAATAACATTTTAGTCATACATTAGTTTTTTGAGGTAGGATGCTTATTAACATAAAATATTACAATGACATAATATATGATATGTCATATAACATAGCCGTGAAGATAAGCAAAATAAAACAGATTAAAAAAATTTAAACCAATGCATGTTTGCGACTGCTTTTTGTATAGGCTACTTTACTCGAGCTTTTTCTCAATGTAACTAACTGTAGAGCTATGAAGTCCATTGATTGCTGAGATACTAGTGA